CTCTTGCAACGGCATGTCGATGGAGAACAGTCCTGACAGCGCGTGCTGCCTACGATCGTGCTGCTTTCGCTGTCGTGTTGGCGTTGTATTGCAGGTGTACGTGGGACATTTTGATGAGGATTACAATCCCAGCTGAGAGTGGCCCATCCCTGTCAGAAGTGCAGGCTGAACTGGCAATCGGGGCCAGCCAGTGCAGAGACGCAGACTGTGCTAGGGCAACCGATGCTGTCAATATGCACCTGGCTTGTCAGGCGTAGGATAGGACGAGCTTCGTTATCTTCGGAGATTGAGTTTCGAACTCCGCGTGTACCACTTACGAGTATTCAAAAGGGACGATCAGATAGACGGAGGTGGAAAGCTAGATATGAATATTCTCGAATTACCCAATTCGTAACTTTAGATAATACAATTTATAACATATTCTAGGATTTCGAATATTATATATTGAATATTCACTTATAGATAATATTTGATATATCATACATGAAATATATTTTCTTTACTACATTGAATCTTACAAAGATTTTCATCTATATATTATAATCCATGTTCGATGTGTAAATGAATAAGTGAAAAGAAAAATATATACATATTTTTTTCAATTTTCTATATTATTCGAATTCTATCGGATTATACGAAAGACTCAATAGAAAAATATAAAGATTCTATGAAGATATTCATTGATAGATTTAAGAAATAAATAAAAATATATCTAGGCTTTGCCTAAGACACAAATTTTCATAGATATAAATACAGAAAAATTTACGGATAGATATAAAATATGCAGATAGACAAATAAATGGATAGAGATAGGCGACAAGTAGGCAAATCGGCAGGCAAATATTCGGGCAGAGAAGTTTCGATTTAGGGAATTAAGAGGTTGAGATAATATCTAGAATCTTATGAGCGATCCATATCATAGATTTAATAAGAGAGATTTGTCGTCTCGTATAATTTCATTAAGAAATCAACAGAATATTAATATTAATAAAAAGAAATCAATAGACAACTAGATAATTAAAGAAATAAACAAATAGATATCAAATAAGAAGATATATAAAATGAATAAATCGATAGATAGATGATTAAATAGATAGACAAATAAATACAGAAATATTCAAAAGAAATAGATAAATAGATATATAAATCAATATATAATTCGGATAAATAGAAAAATTAGAGAAATATACAATCAAATAAACGATTCATAAGAAAATAAAAGATCAACAAATAAATAAATATCCAAATAAATAATAAGAAATCAAATAAATCTAGAAAAAAATAAATCAAGTAAATAATTAAATAGATAAATATAAAATGGAATTATAGAGAAATAATCTCAAAAAATATTGCCGATTCAAATAGATACAAATTCAGCCACATATATATATATATAAATAAGCAAATATAAATAAACTTCAGACAAAGAGATAGATAACGACAAAATATCAAATATATAAATAGATAAGCATAGCTGGCCAATTAATTTAGAGAATGACAAATAATTATATATATATATAAATAGACAAGCAAAGCTAGGCAATTAGACAAAGTTAGATAGAGAAAATGAAATAGATAAAAGAAAAGATAAAACCTTGACAAATATAGAGATAAATTCAGAGAGACAATCAGATATAGAGATAGACGCAAAAACAGACACGCAAATAGATCGACAAGCGCACAAAAATATTTCCACAGACAGATACAGAGATAGACAACCAGACAAGCGCCCATACTCCCACAGACACGCCTCCAAAGAGATATCTCAGACACACAGAGACATCCGTAATACACATAGAAAACTTACATCTAGGCTCCTTTAGAATCGCGGGGAATCGTAAAAAATATCGGGGATTTTCGAATTCGGAGATTCGTAAAGAATCCGGCGAACTTTAGAAATAGAAGAACAATATTCTTTTATCGAAGTATTTAATCTTTATATATTCAAATTATTAAAAGAAGAATTAAAAGAAATCATTTTTCTTTCATGTGCTGTAATATTAAAATAATTACAACGAATCCAAATTAAGATCTTCTTTATATAAATATCATAGAAATCAATCAAATACTATCAATATATAAATTCAATATTTTTCCCCAACAGCGTAAGCTATGAGGTCTTCAGCCGAAATAAGATTTGGGGCAGATTGGACATGGGCTCCGGCAGGTTCCGGGGCGGTTCCGCGATGGGTTCCGGGAGGTTCCGGGGCGGTTCCGCGATGGGTTCGGGAGGTTGGGCGGTTCCGCGATGGGTTCCGGTAGGTTCCGGGGCGGTTCCGCGATGGGTTCCGCGAGGTTCCGGGGCGGTTCCGCGATGGGTTCCGGGAGTTCCGGAACGGTTCCGCGATGGGTTGCGGGAGGTTCCGGGGCGGTTCCGCGATGGGTTCCGGCAGGTTCCGGGGCGGTTGTCGGGAGGTTCCGGGGCGGTTCCGCGATGGGTTCCGGGAGGTTCCGGGGCGATTGTCGGGAGGTTCTGGGGGTTCGGGGGGCAGTTCCGCGATGGGTAGGTTCCGGGCGGTTCCGCATACAATGATACTGTAAGGTTGGTAAGATTAATACAAAAGATTGTGTATTTATAACTATTACAGATATTAGTGGTATGTGCTGACGACCAAACTATTACGTCTTATTGGATACCCAAGAGCCTGGGTACCCAGGCTGGGTGCCCAAGTCGTATCTCAATTTCATATACTGGTATAGTATGATTATAACGTTGATAGGACTAATACCAGAGATTATGTATTCATAACTATTATACATATTGGTGGTATGTGGTAATGACCAAACTACTACGACTCAAGGAATGGTTGGATACCCAAGTAGCCTAGGTATCCAGCCTGAGTGACTGAGGGAGTGAGTGTGAAAGTGAGGGTGATAGAGGAGGAAGAATGACAGAGAGAGCGAGTGAGCGAGTGAGTGAGTCAATGTGAGACTAAGAATGAGAAGGATAGTGGTACCTAGGCTGGGTATTGAAATATTGATAGAGTAGTACTGGAAAACAAAATAAAAAATACTAGACTACCATTACGATATTACGACGAGACTTCTTTTTGCACGAGTCACTAGCATCACTTACATAATAACAATCCTGGGTACCCAGGCTGGGTGCCCAGGTCGTGTTCATGCACTTATACAGCCCAGGCTGGGTACCCAGGCTGGGTGGGAGCCCAGGTCGTGTCTTAGTTTTATATATTGATACAATATTACTGTAACGTTGGTAAGACTAATACCAGAGATTATGTATTCATAACTGTTATACAAATTGATGATATGTGGTAAGGACCAAATTACTACGACTCAAGGAATAATTGGATGCCCAAGTAGCCTAGGAATCCAGCCTGAGTGGCTGAGGGAGTGAGTGTGAAAGTGAGGGTGACAGAGGAGAGAGAGCGAATGAGCGAGTCAGTATGAGACTAAGAATAAAAAGGATAGTGGCACCTAGGCTGGATATTGAAATATTAATAGAGTAGTACTGGAAAACAAAATAAAAAATATAGATTCTTATTATTATATTATGACGAGACTTCTTTCTGCACGAGTCATTAGCATCACTTACATAATAACAAGCCTTGCCCAGGTCGTGTTCATGCACTGATACAATCTTACTATAAGCTTGGTAAGACATATATCATAACTATTACAGATATTAGTGGTATGTACTGACGACCAAACTACTACGTCTCATTGGATATCCAAGAGCCTGGGTACCCAGACTGGGTGCCCAAGTCGTATCTCAATTTCATATACTGATACAATATGACTGTAACATTGGTAAGACTAATACCAGAGATTATGTATTCATAACTATTATACATATTGGTGATATATGGTAATGACCAAACTACTACGACTCAAGGAATGGTTGGATACCCAAGTAGTTTGGGTATCCAACCTAAGTGAGTGAAAATAAGGGTGAGAGACTGAATAAGGTCAATGAATGAGTCAATAACTAAGTAAGTGAGTCAGGGAGTGGGTGTGGGTCTATATACGGGTGGGCGGGAAAGTAGGTTGGGGTGGTTAGATGGGAAGAAAGAATCGCGGCCGAAGCCAACGATATTACGAACTACGGCCGAAGCCACAATAACCGCGGCCGGAAGCCACGGCGTGCAAAATGTATTTGGCTCCCGTTTCATCAAATCTAGAGCTCCATACCCCTAAGCCTGCCTAAAAATACAGCCAACCACAAACCGCTCGAATTAGAATCTTTTGTTCAATGCCCCCATCTCTAACTCTCTCTCTCAGCTTTTCTAATGTCTTCATATAAACCCAATAACAACCACTCCACTATTAGAATTATTCAATGGCATTATTTAAATCACTATACTTTCATATTTTTAGAAATTTTATCATTCTAAATAAAATACTAAAAATATATAAGATATATATAGAGACAAACTATACTAAATAAATTCATCTAAATATAATCTCAAAAATTCTAATCATATATATATATATAAAATCTAATTTATCGATTTATGATATTTGCCTATCTCTTCCTCTATATTGAACCATAAATATAAATATAATCAATTTCATAAAAAATAAGAGAAAGTCTTTTAAATATGAAATTTTTATTTAGTTTATTGAAAGATTCTTCTCAATCAAATTACCAAAAAACTATTATCTATTATACTCGTGCCAGATTAGAAAATTAGACGATTTTTGGGTGTCGTGATATCTAAAGGTTAAAAGAATTAAAACATACCTAATAAGAGAAAAGCGGCGAGTGAGTGCACGCTCTTCAGCTAATATCACGATATCACGTAGGTTCAGTGCAATATAAACATGGACGCGCCAAGGTCAAATACACTCAGCCAAAATCGGCATGGCCTTTGGTACTTGCATCAGAGCAACATGCGTATGTTCCAAATAAAGCTTTCAAACGGTCGCAACCCCTTAAGGGTGCTTTCCGGCGGCATTTAAGGAGCTCGAAAGCCATTCTGCTAGGAGCTCAACCCGAAAGCATAATTCCAAGCCTACCCTTTATCTGGCTGGTAGCCTCAGTTGCCGATGGACACGTAGAAGGACAAGAATGCATCCAAGTCCAGGTGCCTTCGCCAGCCTTGCTTGGCGGCAATCCACCACTCCTGCACCGGACTTCGCTTGCTTACCAAGTGGTTTGGAGTTTGGATCCCAGCCCGAAGCAAACGTCTCCGATGCACATTTCAAGTATCCCAAGCCCCGGTAAAAGAAGAACTCAGACCGGACGCGAAGTACGCCCGAATCCGAGATCCGAAAGCCTCGTGCGGCCCGCCCTTCCTACACTCCGAAGGGCCCTGCACAAAACCTCCTCTTCAAAGCCCTTAGAGCACCCTCCGAAAATTTACCATGACACCTCTCATGACACAAACCCTTCCGTCTGGGCTCCTTTTTCTTCTTCTCTGGCAACTCCTGCCCCGGCCTTGCTGTTCGCAGGCTCGAGAGTCTGATCTGTTGGGGAGGCCCTAAACCCCAAAACCCTAAACCCTCCCACTCAGGTACTAGGAATCTAACACCGCAGGCGTTGAACTAGGAATCAGCTTCTTTTCTTCGGGACTTATGGTCTATGGTGCTCTCTCGGTGGTCTGGCGTTGCCTGCCTCTTCGTTCGGGATTGGTACAGGTTCAGAACTCAAGTCCCAGTTTATGCGGATGTATGCGTGGATCGTGAGTCCAGAAGTGCCAAAGACTCCGCAATAACACCCAGGTGGCGGAAGATTTGTCAGCATTGCCATGAGGGAGAGGAACTCCTCGTAGCCCAACTTGCCGCTTTGGTTGCGGTCGGCCTTGCGCAGACAAGGTACTGTACGAGGGCTTTACGGTTTAGCGCTTTGGATTTAGGGATCAAGGCCGGGAATGTAACACTGTTGCTTTGCTGCAGGGGCTGCCCGACGAGTGAATGCGATGATGGCATTGTGCAACAACACGAGTCAATCGAGATTCTTCGTAGAAGAATGCAGAGGAACGGGTTAGAGTGCACATACATAAAGCTCTTAGGCAGTGCAAGAACGCAAGTGCAACGTCTCCTCGTCTGACTATGACACCCTTGGTGTCCGACCTTTGCCAACATCGCCCTGGAAAGACCAAATCAAAGGCATTGGCAAATAATATCTTATGTCTTGTGAGTTCGTCACACGAATGCCTAAACGCTGAATCCCAAAAATCACTCCTGGTCGAACTTCTTCTTGAGCTGGTCGAGTTCCTGGGCTCCCTCTCTCACTCTCTCTCTGCAACCCTGACGGGGCGCATAACCACCACTTACGGCCAGTGAGAATTCTGAGTCGAAGTTTGAACTTCTGCAGCGCTTGCGCTTTCAGGAGGCTTGATCTTGCGCTACATTAGCCGCCACATGCGAAGCAGCGTCGACGAAGCTGAAGCCATACTTCCGCGCCAGCTGCCTCAACTCCCTCTCTTGACGGCTGAGGAGCACCTGCGCCAGCCCCAACGCAGAAGACACTTACAGCTTTAACAAACATCCGCCACATCATCACATAATCTTGGTTTTTGCACCAAACCCGAACCCAAAACTTCTCAGGGAGCCCAAAAGAAAAAGGGAAAATCCCCGACCTCCTCGGAGAAGCAATAGCGATGATAGAAGTCCAGAAACTCGACCAGATCCAGTGCATCGTTCTGGTTCCTTGGGAAGCCACTCTACTGCAAAGCTAATCTAACGAGGTTGATCGTACAAGGCTCCATAAGGACTCCGTAAGAACTGCGGGGTGAACTCCGGAGCTCTGCTTGACTTGGAATCGAAGCTGAAGGATCCCTCGTAAAGAGTATTTCGTTGGAGAAATGGGACGTTTGTTCAGGCATAAGTCAGGTTTCCACTCGCCCAGCCCCGAATTTTCAAGCTTGCGGGGATACCGACAAACGGCGAGATACTCAAGAGTCGCAGCTGCCACGAATTGAGAATGATACCATGATGGAGGCTCCACGATCGAATGAATAATCCTCGAACGGCTAGTGATTCCGAATCGTCAAAGGGCCACTGTTCCGGTTTGGGCCGGCTTCCTCCACATCAGTCCACATGCGTCTCCAATCTTTGTCGGGGAAGCCTCTCTGTTCGGAACTTGAGTTTCTAGGCACCTGGCTGGAAAGCCCGTCCCAAATCTTAGGTCATGTGTGTGAAGAAGGCCATGGATGGCAAGTCTGGGTTTCAGGTGCCTGCTAGCTTCTTCACAGAAAGGTCAGCATCTCATTTGTTATCCTTATGAAGCTGGATGGAGCGGAGAGGGTGCTACCCTCAATGTCGTAGGTTACCTGGCGAAGCGCATAGACTCCACAGACAGCTGGATCGACTTGCATGATCTTCGGCAAACCCCTCACATCTAAGCCACAGGTCGAAACATGTGCGAGGCCCCGCCTTCTCGTGGACAGGATCTCGAAGCTTCAGATCGTTGTGGCACGGCTTTGCGTGCATTGGTGATCACCAAGAGTTTAATATATCACATTGCGGCAGGATTGGATGTACCAACAGAACTCGCTGAAGTTGTAGCAGGCAGCTTTGTGGCAAACACTCGCTGTCTTTTCGTCTTACAAAGGCTAGCTGGAAAAGCCGAGCTTCGCATCGACAGCTTTGAGTGCACCTCCGACGAACTCCATGTCCAGCTGCGAAGGGTCGTCCACGTCGCTTATGGCGCAGCAGGTCTGGAACAGCGCTTTCCGGGACATGCTGCCCAAGCTGGGCAGCTCAAAGCGCATGCCGTCAAGAACGGCTTCCTGGCAACATGTGTTTCCGGGATGTGCATACATGCATGCCCGCTTCAAGACTAAGGTGGATCGAAGCAGCAGGCTATCTTCAAATCGGCGTGCAGGAGCCTCCGACAGCCCCAGCTCTTCACGATCCCATGTGCCAGTGTCGGCAAACTGATAGAACCAGCTGAAGGCTTGCTTGCTCACCTGGGTGCAATGCTTCGCTGAAACGGGTCTTCCTGCATCTTCGCAAACCCCACCTGCCAAGGAATGTCCTCAAGCTGCGAAATCTTCTGCAGCGTCATCTTTTCCAAAGGAGTCGGCGCCCTTGCCTCGGCAGCAGAGGAACTCTCTGAAAAAATGTGCCGTCATTGAAGTTGGCACGGGACGGCAGCGAATTCTAAAGACTGAACAGGTATTCCTAAAACAGAAGGATGTAACTCCTCAAGAGTATGTTGAAGCTTGAACTAGGCATACTTGTGCATTCCTAGTCCGGCGTCCTTACACAGCCGCTTGCATGCGATTGAATCGTTGCGGACATCCATTTTCGCGTGTGCGTCTGCGTGCGAAAAAATTTCTGTGCGTGAGCGCAGTAGAGTTGACAGATACGGATACTTCTCCACTGGTGCCCCAAATCTAGGTGCAGCTGCCAGATACCGGCAGACCAGAGTTAGAAAGCCTTTCAAACCCCAAGGCCCTAAGCCATATCAGAACCCGCAAGTCTAAACCCCAACTCCCAAACCCTAAAGCCTTCAAACTTGAGCTACCTATCTAAACCCTAATTCCCAAACCTTGAAGCCTCGAAACTTAAGCTACCTGCCCTAGTTACATATAGCACCCTAAGAAAGCCGATAGATACTGTAGGAGCCTCAATAATTAGAATAGGCTGTTGGGGGTTCCTTATTATAATTCTAATATAAGGAACCCCCTTAAAACCCTATTCTAATTGACAGTGTGATGCCAGGTCAACATGTTTGGGGCATGCAGCTACCGCCTTGTGTGTGCCTGGCAGAGCATGTCGCTCAAGGTGCTCAGGAGTCGTAGGCTTGGTGATCCTTTAAAGGTTCCAGTTGCCAGGTGCTCCATAGACCTTTTCACTTCAATAGCGTTCTTCGTAGAGTCATCTTTCTTTCAAAAGAGTTGTCATATCTTCAGACTTCTCAGATTTCGTTGTGTGCGCTGTGGTAAAACGGTGCGTTGAGGGCAGTTTGCGAGAGCAGCCTGCCTTAAAGGCAGGTTATGAGCCCAAGTGGCCCGTAGCACTGCGTCTCCGCCATAGATTCCGATCTTGATAGAAGAGAGGAGGTAAGACCTGTTGGAGCGGGGGGTCAAGGACTCCAGGGCTCAGCAGGCGAACCGGAGAGACGTTTTTTCCAGGAGGCTGCGGAAATCATCCAGGGAATTGATGGTCCGCAGGAGAGACAGAGGACACCAGAGGAGGAAGCACGTGATGTGCTTGAGCAAGCAGACGGTTTAGAACCCGAGTACGAGTTTGAGTCTGTGGAAGGAGTTGTTTCGCCCGAGGGCGGAGCTCCTGATGGTCATGATGACAG